TCTGGAACCAGCTTACAGGAGAGGTGGTGCAGGCTCCTACCCTGAGGGTTTTTAAGAGGAGGTTAGATGAACACCTTGCTGGGGTCGTTTGACCCCAGTGCTCTTTCCTGCCATGGCAGGGGGTCGGACTAGATGATCTGCTCAGGTCCCTTCCAACCCTAGAAACTATGAAACTATAAGAATTCACAGAAGGGACAAAATGGAAGCATTACAGATGCACAGAAAGTATTGGACAGGAGTAGGAAAAATAACAAGCATACTTATGCAGCAGGGCACCTGTATTAGCTGTGATATCAGCCAGCATTAGAGGGGGCAGTCTGAATTAGGAAGATACCGTGGTTTGAAAAACAAGCCATGATTTGTCTAGAAATAAACTTGGACCACCTTATCCCACCCTGAAGAAAATGTTTGAGGAAATGGAGATGGGGAATGTGTTTAACACTTTTATTTAAAAAATATGAATGGTAGGCTAGGGACAGCAACAGGTTTTATATAGGGGTGCACCAATAGAGATTTTTGGGGCTGATACCGATAGCTGATATTTAAGGAGGCATATCGGCTTTACCAGTCTGATTTCTGATACAGCTGCCTCCAGCTGGTAGGTCCAGTGTGGTAGAAGTGGAGTGGAGAGGGAAGAGGCTTGTGTGGGGGTACAGGTCAACGCCTCCCACAGTGAGGGAGGGGGTAAGGGCCGTGGCCTGTGGAGGGGGCTGTGGCTCCTGCTGGTGCTTGCACCCCAGGAGGGCATGGGGAGGTGTGTGCCCCCCACCGATCTGCATGGAGTAGGGCGGGCTGCAGCCAGGGCTGTGAGGGCTGGGCTCGGAGCAGGCGCCAGTGGCTCTGGGAGGATGCTGCCTCCACCCTAAATTTTGCTGCTGCTTTACTCCTAGCACCGCTGCCACCAGCCAGCCAGCGCCACCAGCACCTACTCCAAGCCCAGCCCCTGCTGAGAAGAGCCCCGCACAGCCCGTCCCACCCTGCGCAGATCCATGGGGCATACCCTTCTGCCCCTGGGGTGCAAGCAGCAGCGGGTGCGTCCGTTCCCCCTCTCTGCCACAAGCCATGGCTCGGCCCCCCACACCTCAGCAGTGTCTGCCCCCTCCCTCACCACAGGAGGCGCTGATCTGCCCTGCCCAAGCCCCTTCCCTCCCCTTCCACCACACCGGACTTACCAGCTGGAGCCACAGCTCTCCATGTTGCCGACTGTGCTCCTCACTTCCTGAGTGCTGCACTGCAGCTGCATGCAGCATGGGCATTGATCACCAAATTATCAGCCCCATCCAGACAATATTCGATACAGCAAGATTTCTTTATATCGGTACTGATCCAATATCAGACCGATATATCAGTGCACCTCTAGTTTTATGCAAGACTTCTGCTGTCACTTGTCCCACACTCTGAAGAGTTAGCTGAATGTAGACATGGTTGGTTAGAGTTATTTAGCCCCTGTAACTTCACTTATGGCTCAGTACAAGGCATAGGGGGGCAGGCAGTCCAGGGCACAGTTTGCAGCTCTCAGAGCAACTTAATTGAGTGTCTCCCCACATAGAGCTCAAACATTTGTTATGTTTTTATTCAGTTCTTAGTTATGGTTCCTTATTCATCATAACTAATTTTAGTGCCTGTTTTATAACTGAATACTTTCCTACACAGTAGAATACAGGGTGAGGGGCCAGACCCGTTGTCTGCTCCTCTGTGCCTGCCCTCTGTACCTCCACCCCTGCCTGTACTTGCCCCCATTCCAGTCCTCCGGCACCTCTCCAGTGCACCACGAGTGCTTGTAAGGCCGTGCCAGGGG